GACCTGGTGCACACCTCTGCTTCAGCACTGAGGCTTGTACTTGTCAACAGCTCATGTAATCTGTGCACATTTACAGCTTTGACATAAGTATAAAACACCTCCTTTGGAATGCAGAAACCTCTCAAATGAAACTTTCAGATAGAGCACTTTCCATATGTGCTTGAGTTGCCCAACTCATGGTAGGCTCACTTCTGACTCTTCACTGTTTCTGAAGTAGCTGGTCCCAAACTGCTGATCTAGTCCATCACCCCCACTGTCACCCCACACACCAGACTGAAAACCTGAAGCTTGCACAGTCAATTTTTAAAGGAGAGATTCACAAAGCTGGGGTACTGAGAGTTCCACCTGCCTAACACTTGAATGAAAATCCAGGCCTGGGCTTGTTTTCAAAACAAACAAAAGCCAAGTTGAGATTGAGCTCATTATGGAAAGGGCATTTTCTGTGAAGCAGTCAAAGGTCTAACTGTTATGGAAAACCAAAATCACCTTGTCCTACTAATATGGAATAAGTGATAGTGAACAGTGGTACTAAATAGGGCAAAGATAAAGCTCTCAAAATACCTAACAACTAATCTGGAGCAAATATTATTGGAATGCCATATATATAGAAAAATGTTGAACAAATTTGAACAGTATATTTATGTATCTTCATATAGATAAATAGTACATGTAAAATATCTTCCTGCCCTATGCATAATTACAAGGAGGAGATTTTCAAATCCAACTTTGGGAAGAGATAAGATCAGGAATGTGGATAAAGGTTATGAAATGAGTTAATTATATTATTGTGAAGGAACATGATAAGTACTTTTGATATGCGATTGATGTAAAGGGGTAAGCTTCATGTCTATAATTCCTTTGCGGCTGACCTTAAGGTCTGATGGGATGATAATAACTTCATCTGCTATAAATCATGAAGTAAAGGGTGCCTGGCTCTTAAATGTTTTAAAGCAGTTTTCTGGAAAATTGATGAGAATAGCTGGAGGAAACAACTTGATAATTGAGTGGCAAGGTTTCCTGCGATCATTACCTGACCTCTCTTGGTAAAGGTGATTCATTATAACATAAATCACCAGAAGGATGCCTTGTTATGGAAGGTGTTGCATTGTTACAAATAGTCAAAGAAAAATAGAAGTAAGGTAGACAATCAACAAGTTAGTGTTTAATGCTCAAAACATTGGAAAGAGGAAGGAAGGACCATCTTCTCTTGAAGTAATGGGTAAATTTTACGGTGTAATTTTTTTTTGAGCTGTTGTGCACATAAGTGACAAGGAAAAGAATGTCGTATATATAAAACTCCAAATTAATTGTTGGCTTTGGTAGAAATAATTCCAATAAATATTTGAGAAAAAGCAATCGGTGCCCTTTTGCACCAGATGTGGAGAATATTTAACTGCTAATTGCCTGTTTCTCACTTGATGAATTGTCAGTCAGCACAGGATGGACATTATGGGCACCCATATTTCTGCCTAATTTACTTACATCCACTGTTTAACTACAACAATATTGCTCCCAGGACAGTTCGAATTTTAAGGAAACATGGGAGGAGCAGGCAAAGGGAATTTTAGACATTGATCTTCAGGCATTGAATTTCTAACCCCGAGTAAGCAGTGCCACAGGCTGCTCAGAAACAATATGTTTTGGGATTTTTAAGAGACAATTTTCAGTAGTTATACAGTGGCTAATAAATGTGCTTTGGACAAGGAAATCAGCCAGCTTTACCTGGTCCTCCTATATGTGACAATGGGCTGAATGTAAAGACCATCCACTCCGAAGGTGCGATTGGTCACCTTTCCAACTGGATGTGAATTGAGGTTCTCAAATTGACAATTCATGCCCAATTAAGGGCATCATTCCACTGCTGGTGTTCAACCAGAGTTGGGTGAAAAAATACCGCTGCGGGTTGCCCTGAAAGTCAAACCCAGGATGGGTTTACTGTGGGTTTTCTGAAAACTCCCTCATCCAACATGCAGGCTGAGTCCCAGAAGCGAGTCGAGGCTGGAGCAACATCAGAGCGAGCACGAGCCCGGAAGTGAATCATGGCCGGAGCCTGGAGCAGGAGCAGAGCTCACGACTAGTCAAGCAGCAGTTTGATGCAATCCTACATTTTGATAAATCCAAAGCATCATCTACATACATGGCTGCATGTTGGGCAGGTGCTGCTTGTGGAGTCAGGTAGTTGAGTTGTGAGTTGGTGTGCTCTCTACGATGTCTCAACTTTTGCCACAATGTGTTCTTGACTAAGTCAGTGAATATATTTGGTGCCTTCTTGGATGAACCATTTCCATTTTGGTTGGACAAAGGGCAAGGACTCCAAAACTGTCACTGGGTATGTTTGGCCTCTTCAGAGATACACCCCTAAAGCATTTTCATTCTCCTCCTCAGAGCTTGCTGCCATAGTTGAGTTCTGAATAAAGCAGTTGCTTCAGTCTGGCGTCTGGCACATAAAAGATATTTCCTGCAGAACACAGCTTGTTTTAAGTGGTTCATGTCTGGATACTGACTGTGTTGACTTAAGAGAGGACACTGCTGTTAGGCTGCCTTTTTTGCAATGAGCTCTTTTGAAGGTAAACTTGGTGGTACTTTACCAATGCTTTGAAATGCCGGCTATAAGTTGTCCAAGTTTCTAAAGTCTGTTGGAGCGTGTGAAAATAGACATATTGTATGGATGCCAGTGGTTCCAGAAGGTGGTGTATTGCTCTTTCTCAAGGAGAATTAAGAAAGGAATGAAGTGGTTGTCTTGCAAGTAACTGTCCACGTTCAATGAATTAATCAAGATTTTTGTAGAGGTTAGAGGAGTGGTCACATTGATGCCATGTTACAAATAAATTTTAGCCCAAATTGTTTCCACCATAACCTCTGTGCACTGCGCTCTGGAATTTTCTGTCCCATCTTTCTCCATCTAAGTACTGCCTGATGGTTAGTTCAATACAGATTCCAATATCTTCCACCTGTGCACACATCTATAACAGTTATCAAAACAACTTTGCATTTGTATATTACATTGAATAAAATAAAATCTCCAAGGCACTTCATGGGAGTCTTCTAGAACAAAATTTGCTGCTAAATTGTGAAAGGAAATATTCAATTTGACGGTCAAATGCTTGATCAAAAAAATAAGTTTTACAGAGCGTCTTAAATGGGGAAAGACATGGATTGGCAGAGAGGTTTGGGGGGTTGCTCCAACAGACTTTTGGTACCTCAAAGCACTAGCGAAGTACCGCCAACTATACCCTCAAAAGATCCTGGGTACCTGGATAAACTCAACCGTGCATTGCACATTTTGGCCACCACCTTCTCAAGAACACTTCATTTTCTTCCTGAAATTTGTAATGAGATTAAAATTTTGTCTCTTCTTGCCAGAGACTGTGATTTGCATGTTTGTGAGCTTCAAGCTGATTGAAAGATTCTGTCATCTGAATTAGTACACATTATTGTGAATTCTGCATCTAAGTGTCCCTGTATTCTGTGTCGGGGAGGAAACTTAGTAAGACAACAGTACTGCAGAATGTAAAAGGAAAGAACTGCAGATATGAAGAATAAGGGTAAAGAAATAGATAGTGGGTGGGGCAATGAGATCTCTTTTTACTTAAGGTATCGTGGAGCAGGTTTACAGTTGGTAGTCAGCAGAGGCCAAGATTCATTTCTTCTATGTGGTAGGAAAATAATTGTTTGTGGCTTTGTGGAGACTTTGCTGAATTTCTTCACCCATTGTCAAAAGGGACTAGTTGTTGTTTCTCTTAAGCAGCCTCCAAATAAACAATTTCACAAAATGATGATTTGCAGCCTGCAGTGCTGAAGATAGCCTCCAAGAAGGACCAAATGTATTCTGCAATGGATACAAAAAAGCAGCATCTGTTTTTAAATTGCATATATAAGTTGGAAGAATTTTCTTGACACTATAATGTTGTCCATTAAGACAGATTAAGTGTAACATTGACTTTGTGCAATCACTTAAAATAGGTGATAAGTTTAGCGGTTCTGGAGCAAGTTGCTGCAAATAAACATTGGAATAGATATAAAACAGGTGGCCAATCCGCTATGACCTGCTTTACATGATTGCATAAAGAAAAAGTCTCTCCCAAAAAGCAGTGCGTTTTTTTTTTAATGAATGAAGTGTCACTGATTTTTGCTCAGCTTTAAAGGAAGGAATCTTTGCATTTATATATTGCTTTCTATGATGTCAGGACATCCCAAAGTGCTTTTTACATCCAATAACATACTTCTGATGTGTAAGCACTGTTGTAATGGACTGAATCACCAAAACTTTCCAGACTTCCTCCAACAAAAATCTCAAGAGCTTGTCCTTAATTTATCAGTCATGAGACCAAAAATTGTAAATTCACCAATGATGACCATCCCACTTCCATTTGTTTGCTTTTCTGATTACATCTTGCATGCAATGTCTTTTTTCTCCACTTTTTTGTCCTTTGTTTTCTTCTGTTCCCTTCCAGTCTTATCAGCATTACCTAATTGGAGTTCAGTATAAGAGATACCAGTTGCTCTATCTCACCTTGCCAAAGTGGTCATTATTCCAGAATGAGTGACTTGAGAGTTACAGCTTTGTCTGTAGGGAGAATCACAGACAAGGCCAATCTTGTCTTTATTCAATGACCACACACACATACACTACCAGAACGAGCCTCTAATCATTCTAGCAGCAGAGATTCGTGAAATCAGCACAGGAAAAGAGTCAATTCTCAGACATGTTACTTGATGACTGAAGTTGTTGAACTTATTGAGCCTGTATATTAACAATCAAATAATATATTGTTTTTTGGATAATGTGTACAAAACAAATAAGTCTAAAATGCAGTCAAACACTTGAGTGTGTTTGGTTTATTGGTTTGATTTAACAGCTGAGCGATTATTGCACCTCAACTCAATTTAAATAAATCTGCCTTATCTCGACACTAAAGCATGAGAATCTGTAATCCTGTGTCATATATATCTAGGAGCCATTCTTAAAATAATAATCACTTGGCTTGTTCTTCTCACAGATGCCTAACTTTATCAACACCACCCTCCCGCCACATGAGCAGGTGACAGCTCAGGAGATAGACAACTATTTCCGCCAGGAGTTAATCTACAAGAGGAATGAAAGAATGGGCAAAAGGGTGACAGCTCTTCTGGAGGCAAACCCAGATAAAAGCTTTTTCTTTGCATTTGGAGCAGGTATGTAGAGTGATCCATTGTCCCTCGGGGGCTTTGCCTCATCCAGATAGTGTAAAGCACTTCGTCATTTTGTTTAAAGATGTATAATCAGGAATTTCTGGCATAGAAAGCAAACCTCCCTTGTTTGTTACCATCTCTCTTACAGAACTGTGTTAAACATGGAAACAAACTATGATCGATTGATCGTCCTTTTAATTAGATCACCTGTAAAGCACCAGAATTGTGGGTTTTAAGATTAATTTTCTAAAAAGATTAAAAATAAACCTTTGCCAGGAATTTTGTTTGTCACTGTTAGTCTTTAATCATACAACTGAAGCTGGTGTTGGAAGGTTTTAAGGGAAAGATCCCATGAGTGTTGCACAGAAATGCTCAAAAATGAGTCAATAACTATTCGTTGAGTCGTCATTCAAATTGAGTTGCTTTCTTGAAGTTGATGCATATGAAACTAAAGGAAAAAGAAGTAGAGTTTGAGTTAGCAACCTGGAATTTGGATAAATGCTCCTGTTGAAATGATGCTGTTCCTTCCCCTGTAATAGCTACAATGTGGGATTAAAGTGCAACACCCTTTCAGAAAACTTTTCCCTGGTGGAGAGTCCCACACATGCAAATGACACAACCTTCCATTTCATCATGGTTTGCGTAACATGTTTGCCAAACATCTTTCCACGGAGAATTTAACCTGAAAAGACCTTTCGGCTACATCCTCTGGGAACGTTGTAATAATTAATTGTTGCCTGTGGTTTGCTGTTACGTTTGACACCACTGTTGTTATTAGAGAGAGTGGATGGTGTTCAAAGCAGTTATCGTAACATCCCTCTTCCTGATCCTTCTCTGTGAGCCAGATAGATTTCACTGAGCAGGGGCATTTTTACAGACCTCGAGATAAACTTTAATGATTTGGTCATGATTCACTTAATATCAATATATTGACATTATCAGTTTCCTCTTAGATTGTCTTGTGTGTTTAGCTGTTACTTAATAAACCCCTTGCCTGGATCTGAGAAATTATATTCCATATTATAGGAGGTTTGAAATGAAAGGTTTTAATGAAAGATTTCCCTTTTCAAGTCATTCGGCAGACAAGGATTTTCCTGTCTAGTGACGTGGGAGGAAATGAAGCTTGTGATCCATTAATATTAATTAAATGTCTTTAGAAAGTAATGCAAGAGGTAGGAAGAAAAGCAATGTCTACTAGTTACATTTTTTTAAAAGAAGAGGTACATTTGTGATAAATGTGTGATAGACATGTTTTGGTAGTAAGAGTTTTGAATTGAAAGTACATTAGTTAATTTACAATGTAAAGAGTGAATAAGCAAAATAAAGCACTCCCTCTTGCTTGGTACCACACTTGTGCAATGGAGTCATGCTACTTGCTATGCATCGACAACAGTTTCTGTTGCCAGTACTGTGGAATTTGCATCATTTATTTTATGAGGGTAATTCCATAACAGACTTGGAAACAGTGTGGATTGCAGCAAATTGTGTATTGGAACTTGCATTTCTGTTTATGCATGTTTTCAACTGGCTAAGGGATTGTCTTAATCACATGACTTTATGGGAGCACACAATATTTAAGCACTCAGCTATTTGCAGGGAAGAAAATGGCAACTGATGACTTTGGAAGTGGCTATTATGATGAAGAGGTGGGTCTAAAATCCTCCAGAGATTACAGAGGGAATTTTAAGTCACCTGCCCTCAAAGTGGCCCGTTTGATTTACTGTGGTGCTTCTGAAATATAAGCACTGTCTTGTATATTTTCTAACCTGTGATTGTATCATACTAATGTAATAAAGGTAGCTGAGTAATCCATATTTGATTGAAATGTAGCATTGCAATCAACATTTCATAAATTAAAACATCTTGAAGGCTGAAGATGTTGCCAAAATACATAAGTGTGGGAGGGACTCCAGATGTGAACCAACATAAATATTTATTAGGATTTAATTCAGGGCTGTCACTTGAGTTAAGGAATATTTTACTGACTGGCTGGCACTTGGACTAAGGTTAGCAGTTCCATAATTTTCTGCAAACTGCTGTCAGACAAGAAACTGCGTTTGCGAGACATATATTTTAAAATAACTATTTGAATTGTATTTTCATAAAATTTTGTAATAGAGAACGTATGTTTCCTCACATTATGCTTCAGAAAAATAGGGCTAGGCATTGATTCTCTGACTTAAGTCAAGTGGGTATTTTAAACTAAATCTGTTGATTCCTGAAAGCACATCAATTACTATTTCACTGAGGCACAAGTCTAGCTTGTAGTAGGGATTTGATAAATGATAACATTGAAAGAGATGGAGAAGATTAATACCCAGAAGGCACATGTTACTTAATAAAAAGAGAGACTTTGAGTTGAAAATGCAAAGATTTAAGAGGGGTAAGGGATTTTCCGATGGCGTTGAAAGTTCATTTGATATTCCCTTCACATCTCAAATATCTTTTTGAAAAAGCAAGTTTTGTGCACTTTTTTAAAACAAAAATAGAAATTCTAGAAGATTGGAGACGTTTGTGCAGGACACCTGGTTCCTGCTGTATGGAACATACTGTCCTAGAGAAAATGGGAAACATACTGGTTGATAGTGATATTTAACCATGGTGAGGAGGTATGGAGCAATTTTGTTTTTCTTGGTTTGCAAAGTCAATATCTGTATCAGGATATTACTGAAAAGCTGTAGGTGACTGTTAAATTGTGCCTTCAACTGCTGGGCATGAATTCAACTTCAGTATAACTAGTAAGATGATGGTTCAACAGACTGAATGTGTGAAATGAGTTTGGGCTGTCTCGACTAGAGTTATTGATGTTTAGGTGAACTGTCTAGCATTTATTGGCTTCTCTGGCAACTTATAAAATATAAGTTACACAACCAGTAATGGGGAAACTGAAAATACTTTTAATTCTTCATCCTTTGATATTAATGAAGATAGAATATTAGCTTGATTCCTATTGAGTCCATTCTGGTGAGACCTCCAAATAAAAACCAGAAGAACTGCGGGTGCTGTAAATCAGGAACAAAAACAAAGTTGCTGGAAAAGCTCAGCAGGTCTGGCAGCATCTGTGGAGGAGAAAACAGAGTTAACGTTTCGGGTCCGGTGACCCTTCCTCAGAACTGA